GCCTTCAGTGATCTGATTAGTTAAAGCTTTCATACACGTCCAATCGCAGGGCTGTTTACAAACGGAAAACGGAGAGACTGTTCGGGAGAGCTCGTGAAAACTCGACGATAAGGTACCTGACCGCCCCTAAAATTTTCTCAACGGATTTAGACGATTCACAAAAATGATCAATTTAAGAAATAAAACGGCGGATTTCCGCGGATCCGCGGAAAATTGCCATGTATGCATATGTGTCCCCGAAAAAAAAAAAGGCGGTGCTGTATGGGAATTCAAGTTCTGTCCTAGTTTTCTTTTTAGATTTATTATTTTTGAATTAATATTGTTATTAGTTTATTTAGTATTTTGAAATACTCTATTCTGAAGACTACCATCATATGGCATTTGGGGAGGTGATGGATTGGTATGAGGTTTGGTTTGATCTCTTTAAAAACATCCTTGCTGAAGCGGTTGGTTTATGAACCGTCGCAACTGCCACAAGTAAGGGGGACGAACTCTTCCTTCCCCCTTACTTATCAACTCTGAAAAAATGAAGAATTCGCCTAAAGTATGGCCGTAACGGAATGGATGGGTCATCGGGGACAACCACAAGTCCTGAGTCAAAGCCCAGCAACTTTTTTCTTTGGGGTTTGCTCAAGGAGCACGACATCTCTAGCAAACCAACAACTTTGGAGGAACTTGAAGGGCCAACAAGAAATCAAAGTATGTCTTCCATTCCACCAGCGTTCCTTGTGAAATAAATAAGTGGATGCGGTTCCAAGGCGGATTGAAAAGTTGATGGCGAATGCTGGTGCCCATCTTGAATTTTAAATAAAACACGATGCTATACACTTCTAATCTTCATTTCTTGTCTGAATTATAGTTCAGGAAAAAATGACAAGTACTTTAAACAGAGATGCAAGTGGACTTTCCTGAAAATTCCGGAAAAATTAAAATTGCATATATATATATATATACACATATATGCATGTACACTCTAGGTAAGATCGGGCCGCCCGACCCAAATTTCGTGTCGGGCCTAAAAATGTCAATCATTGTTCGGGTTCGGGTCGGGCTTCTCTCTCGCTGACTTTTTTTTTTTTTTTGGTTTGTTTCTCTC